TGTTGACTTGGGCACTTGTGGCTTTCAGAGCCCCAGCAAGGGTGGGTGTGTGGGGACTCAGCCAGGGTAAGCTTCATGTTTGGGGTTTTCTCTGTGCATTTTCAGACCTGGACATGCATTTTCAGACTGTGTCTAATTTTCCAGGTGGTGGCCATGACTCTGAAGGTCAGAAATGCCTGCTGAGGTCTGTAGCTCTGGGTGTCCCACTGCCCCTGTGACTCAGTGCTGGTTGGTGCTGTTCATCAGCTGCTGCTCCCTTTACATTAGGTCTGGTTTGAGCCATTCCATCAAAACAGGGAATAGGGTCTGGATCCTGCCTGGCCTTTGGAGCAGCTCCTGGTACACAGCAGTTTACATAATGCCTGTGATCTGCAATAACTGAATGCTGCCTCCCAAAGAAATTACCTCCAGCAAGCTGAAGTCTGGGTAAAAACTGAGCACTGAGGCAAGGCAGGGAAAAAAGTGACCTCAGTGATCTCTCTCTGTTCTTTGTAACCCAGAGAAATATTTCCTTGGAAGTGGTGACCTGCTTATGGATTTTGGCTTTGCCAAGTAGGTGGCAGTGCTACTTCTCTGAACAGGAAAATCTGCAGTGTCCTGCATTCCTCTGGACACTTCCTTAAGAACAGCTGTCCTACAGTAGCTTGGGACAGAGAGTGCTGAGTGTTGGTTTTAGTTAAAACAAGCTGTAATAGATAACCTATTGTGAAACAAAAGATCATGGCCCTTTTCTGTCGTGTTGAGATCATAAAACAGCAGTGAAATGACTGAGCTGCTGTGTGCTGGTTGGTTGGAGGGTTGGGGGTTGGTTTGGGGATTTTTTCTCAAGGATTGAGAGCAGCCTGGCATGAAATATACTTGGGGATTTGAATGAAAGGCTCTTAAGCTGGGTTTGGAGTCAAGGAGTTTGTCAGATCCATCTGGGCAGGGCCTTACTTGGGCCATGTAGTGCCACCTTTACACCAGCACCCAAAATTAATTCAGATTTATTTTTTAAAACTGGCAAGAGGTGAAGGAAGCTGAAGAACAACAACTTCCATTTAGTTACTATGGAAAAAAGTAACTAAATTAAATAGTAACTAAACTAATAAACTAAACTGAAGTTTATTTGGATCAGGACCATTAGAGGGTCACAGAGCTGGCAGCAATTTCCATGTATGAAAGTTAGGGGAGGGTTTCACTGTCCTACTTTATCACAAACAGGGTCAAAAGAAAGGATGGATGGAGCTCAGTTTTTGGTCCTGTACTTTGTGACTCTGAGCCTGGTTACTTGTATGGTAAAATTACTGCCAAAGTGAGGAAGAGCAGAAAAATGAGCATTTTGGTTCTGGTCCTTTTTTGTAGCCAGGATCAGAGGATGCCTGGGCATCCTGTGCCACCTGCACCTTGGAGCTGCTCTGTGCTGGGGCTGGACACTGGCCTGGTTTGCTGTCCTGGAAAAGTCACTTTTGGTTTTGGGGGATCCCTGTTGAAGGCTGGGGAAACATCTGCTGCTGGGAAACAAACCCTGATGGATTAACAAGGCAATGAAAGGGAGTTTGGGGATTGCCCTGGGCTGGGAAGGGCAGCACTGGAGGCCCCAGGATGAGCTGCCTCTGCTGAGATAGGGCTCTGATAGAGGAGTGGAGGTAACCCTGTAAAAGCTGAGCTTGTAGACACCTTGTATGGATTTGTGTTGGCTCCAGAGCCCTCCCAGGAAACTCCTGCCCTGCCTAAAGTGGCTGATGAGTGTCCTTCACATACAGGAGACAGAGCAGCTGTGGCTGCCCCATCCCTGGAAGTGTCCAAGGCCAGGCTGGACAGTGCTTGGAGCACCCTGGGACAGTGGAAAGTGTGGGCAGGTGTTGCCCGGATTTTTTAAGATTTTCTAAACCTTCTGATGTTTACATTCTTGTAGCAAACTTTCTCACACACTTTGTGTAAATAACTTATTGTTTTGCATTCTTTTATGGAAGAAGAGAAGTTTGTTAGACTGTTTGTTTGTCCAGTGTCATTGGAGAGGTGGCACTGTCACCCTCCAATCCACTGTCACTTTTAGAAATCTATAAATGTTGGAGTCAGAAAATAAACTTCCCTTTTCTTTGCCTTGAGAGCAGTGGTGTGTGTTGTGGTGTTCGTGTCCTATAGTAACAGGCAGGGGTGGGACTGGAAGAGTTTACAGAATTCACAGAATTAAAGAATGACCAGGTTGGAAGAGACCTTCAAGATCCTCGAGTCCAACCCAGCCCCAGCCCCTCACCCAAACCCTGGCCCCCAGTGCCACATCCAGGCTTTGTTAAACACACCCAGGGACGGGGACTGCACCACCTCCCTGGGCAGCCATGCCAGAACTTTATCACCCTTTCTGTAAAAGATTTTTCCCAATCTCCAGCCTGTATTTCCCTTGGTGCAGCCTGAGGCTGTGTGCTCTGGCTGTGTCAGTGCTGCTGCAGACAGAGCCCAGCCCCAGCTGAGCACAGGCACCTTTCAGGAGCTGCAGAGAGGGATGGGGGCAGCCCTGAGTCTCCTTTTCTCCAGGCTGAGCACCCCCAGCTTCCTCAGGGGCTCCTCACAGGGTTTGTGTTCCAGCCCCTCTCCAGCCTCGTTGTCCCCTCTGGACACACTTGAGCGTCTCAAAGTCCTTCCCAAACTGATTTAAGGTCCCTTACAACCAAACCAGTCTGTGATTTATGTTTGATCTTGTCTTAGCTACTTCTCTAGGGGACAAAGATCTCACACCAAGAGAGGCTGGGCTAAGGTGAGCAGAGCTACACAAATCCTGGGACCCAGCAGCTGCAGGAGAAGCAGAAGCACTGGGGCTGCAGGGGCAGGAGCTCAGACACTGCCCTGGCCAGCAGGAGCCTGAGCATCAGCACAGTTCTGTTGGCAAAAATACACTTCCTTTGCCAGGATTACAGGATTCCTCCAGGGAGATTTCCCTCACTGCTGTGGTTTCACAAGATCCAGGAGTGCTCCTTATCAGTGGTGCTACCCTGTGGAATGCTGGCATGTGGGAAGCTCCTTGATGATTCCAGATCATGTTAGGACAGCTCACAGGTGCCTTAAACCTTTGACTGACTGGGAGAGAGGGGGCTTGGATCTGAAATGCACCTCCTTAAATGAGGAGTTTTGCCAGTGACATCTGGAAGACCAGACAATAGAGGCATTTATGTGTGCAGAACTGTTCGGGAAGCTGAGGGCTGAAGGAAGAAGTAGATAAATTAAATCAAACTTATTTGATCCACATCCCACTTCTGGAAGCACACTAACATGCTGAGAAGCTCCAGAGCTCCTATGAAATGGAGTTTTTTCTCCCTTCCCAGGTGTCTGGATAATATTCTGTGGCATTATGGCCCCAGTCCTGCAATGAGGTCTGCATGGATAAAACCAGGGGCCCCATCACTAAATTGGAAAGACTTTCACATTCCTGTCATGGAAAAGAGGTTCACACTTTATAGCAACAGTAAAAGTCCCTTTGCTGAGGATGAAGTCTGTAAGGGTCATCACTTGCCATGTCTGATTCAACATTCCTGCTTTCCCTTCAGTATTCTCTGATTAACAGGACCTATATCAGAGATTAATATCTCTACTTGTATCTTAATTATGAAAGTGAATCTGAAGAGTTTATACTTCCTTACCAGTGTGTGCTTGTTTAACTACTGCTTGGTCAAGGAAAATCCATTATATTGGCCACGAAAGTGTTTTCTTTCTTGGGTAAATTCAACAAGGAAACAAGAATATCTTCAATTCTTGTTAAACATATATTTGTTTAAATTGGTGACACAATAATCATGACAGTTCTTTAAAAACTGCATCTTTCCATTTTTTAAAAAAAACCAAGGTTATACTTAATCCTTTAACATTTTGTGTTCACTCCTGCTTTGTGCCAGTTCACTGTAACAACGAGACACTGCTCCAAATGACACAGCTCCTGTTGTGGTGTGCAGTGAGGAGGGATATTGGACCTGGTGAAACACTGACGCTCTGTTTGCAGTTGTTTTTGATTCATTTACCAGCTCCAGAAATAGCTGCCCTATTTGTAGTTGTGCTGCAGGCTTTAATATATTCAGCATAGCCATGGCTGTGGATGCAGCAGGGAGAACAAGGGGCTCGTTAGCGGGAGATGATTGGGGTAGATGTGGGAATCACAAATGTCGGAGTTCCTCTGAGAGAGCAGTTTCTGTCCAGGTTTGTTGGCTGGAATCTGTGCTCCGAGCTGTTGTGGCTTCATCCCCACCCAATCCCTCCTTCTCCACCCTTCTCACAGCAGCCACATTTGCTGCCCAGAGCTGGCAGTGACACTTGGAAGGTGTTTGAGTCAGAAGATGCCACTGCAGGCCAGAGTCACGGACACCTCTGTGCTTTGAGCACCTCTGGAAACCCCAGCCCAGGGGTACTGCTGCTGCCTTAAGCAGGGCCCTCAGGTGCTCTGCTCCATCAGAACTGGAACAAATGCTCGTGTTTGGGGTCAACTCTGAATAAACCACCATGTCCCATTGGGAAATGGGGATGCTCTGCCATGGTGTTCCTACGGCACAGCCATCCTCGTGTCACCAGCCGCTCTCTGACATGTTGGGGCTTATAAAAAAGAGAGGGGCAGATAATAATAGGACACGAGGGAATGGTTTTAGACTAAAAGAGGTGAGATACCGATTGGATTAGGGGAGGAATTCTTCCCTGTGAGGGTGGCGAGGCTTGCCACAGGGTCCCCAGAGAAGCTGCGGCTGTCCCATCCATGGGAGTGTGCAAGGCCGGGTGGGACAGGGCTTGGAGCAGCCTGGGACAGTGGAAGGTGTCCGTGCCCATGGCAGGGGTGGCACGGGCTGGGCTGTACGGCCCCAACCCGGCGGTGGCTCGGTGCTGTCCTGGCCCCAGGGGTTGCTCGGTGCTGCCCGTGGCTCGGTGCTGCCCGTGGCCCCCGGGTCGCTGCGGGGCCCGTCCGGGGCGAGCTCCGGGGTCGCGGGGGTGGGCGAGGCCCCGGTCGGGCAAAGCCCCGCCCCATATGGGCGGTGCCTGGTGACGTCACCGCCGCTCCGCCGCAGCCCCAGTGCAGACGGAGCCGCCCGGTCCCGGTGCCGCCCGGTCCCGCCGCGATGCCCTCGGACCGGCCCTTCAAGCAGCGCCGCACCTTCGGTGAGCCGGGACCGGCCGGCAGCGGCCGCGCGGGAGGGAGGGAGGGACAGACGGACGGACGGACGGACGTGGGGATCTGCCCTGCGCCGCCCCCGCCGTGCTGCCCTGCGGGCCGGCCCCGCCCGGGCCGGGCTCGGCCGCCGCGGCTCCCGGCGGGCGCGGCCGCGGGAGCAGCGGGGCCCGGGCCGGGGGCGGCGGTGCCGCAGCCGCCGCGCGGTGATGTCATTGTCATCCCGGCCGGGCCCGCTCCGGGGGGGCCGCGCCCGCCCCATCCCCGCCGTGCCCCCCCGGGCTCCATCCCCGCCGTTTCCCCCCCCGGGCCCCATCCCCGCCGTGTCTCCGCTGCTCCCGGGCACCGCCGTCACCGGGGCGCGGTGGCGGCCGCAAGGGGCCGTGCAATGTCCGGGACGAGGGGGTGGCCGGGGGTCCCTTTTGGTTGTCAGAGGACAAAGACCTCCCCAAAAATCGCCCCCCGCGCTCCCCATCCCGGCGGCCTCGGGCGGGTGTTGCAGGGTGCCGCACGGAGTCAGTGATGGTTGTGGAGGCTCAGTGCTCACACCCTCCCCACCCCTTTGTCAGAGGTGCGTCCTGGGGACGCTCAGAAGGTGAGGAGGTGACTGTAGAAAGTCCCAGATTTTTATCTCCAGACCCGATAGCGGAATCCACAGAAACACCAACTGCTCTTTCCCTTGACCTTTGCCAGCTGGCGCAGGGAGAGGTGTGTGTTTCTGGCAGGTTAAATTCCTGGGGAAGGGGTAGCATTTGAGCTTTACTTGCTGTATAATGCTGAAATCAGTGTTTTCATGCCATAAAACTCCCTCATATTATACCAGAGACTGCCTGAACGTAGGTGAGGGCGTTTCCTACATGAGATTTAAAATTGGAGCTTTTGCCTGCTGGAAACTGCTGATCCAGGCCCTTGCTGCTCTCCTGGAAACTGTAAATATTTGGTATTTTATTGGCACAACCCTTCTGGCCTTGAATGCTTACCCAGCCCTCCCCTGCCACAGGACCGAGCCAAGGGAACACGCACAAACAAGAACCAGCCCAAGCCTGGGAGCTTGGGATCCTTGCTGGGAGCCTGCTGTGTTCTCCTAAGCTCTGTCTTAAAACCAGCAAAGTCCTAAATCAGCCCTTCAGTAACTACCTACTGTTAAACTGGTGAGAATCAGCTTATTATGGTTAAGAGGAGACGGGTTTGCCTTCGTGGATTGCTCAGACTTTCTTTGAGCCAGAAGGAAAACAAAATCGGAGGCTCAGAGCAGTTGAAAGCAAGCAGGATTAAAATAGCCCAGGAGGGACAGAGGGGGTGAGGGAGTTTGGTGCCGGCAACTGCAAGTGCTCCTTGTTTCTCTGTACTTTCCTCTGCCCTTTTGCTCTCTCAGCTGACTGGGCTGCAGAGCTGAGCCAGGAGGAGGAGGAGGCCTGGCAGCCCCCGCAGCTGCTCTGGGTCAGGGCTGGAATTACTCTGTTGGAGAAAGTAAATACGGCTTGTTTTTGTCTTTGAATCATTACACAACAGGAGCAGGAAGCGATTGTTTACAATGCAGTTGGAGAGGGCTGGTGGAAAACATCTCCAGCGATTCTGTACCCTCAGAATGGCTTGATTTTTAAGGCTTCAAAACTTTACAGAAATGGAAGCATTCCAAAAAATCAGTGAAAAGGCAGAGTCAGGGTTATGGCTGTTTACAAAGGCACCCAGGCTCCAGTTTCATGGCAAGTGGCTGCCTTAGGTCTTGGGCTGCTGCTCCTCAGCAAAGATTCTGCTTTCCTCAATGCTTGTGTTCCCCTGTGGGGGCCTGAATATATGTATTGTTATGGAGACAGTCCCTGTTAAGATCTATGTATTGTAAGATCTATGTGTGGGTCCTAGTTACTCCAAACGAGCTACAGCTGCAAAGTCCTTAGTTGGGCAGCAGCTGTGGCTTGTGAAGGTAACTAGGACCCACACATAGATCTTACAATACATAGATCTTAACAGGGACTCTCTCCATAACAATACATATATTCAGGCCCCCACATTCCCCCTTCTTGTATTTTTGGAATTTTTCTGTTAATTCCTTGTGTTTGTTCATCTGCTTGGTCTTGGGTCTCTCCTGAGTAAAATTTCCTGATTTCTCTTAATCACTGTGAGGACTTAGAAGGGGACTGGCTGGGAAGCAGCAGGGGTTTGACCTGAGGTGTGTGGAGGGCACGGAGCAGTGACTCTGCCATGGCCTCAGGTGCTGTCCCTGCTGTCAGGTGAGCTCTGTGGGCCGGCCCTGGGCAGCAGAACCTCCTTGCTGTGGGTGCAGGGGGAAAATGTGGCAGCACCCTCTGCATCCATGTGCTGAACCCAGAGGCTGAGGCGTGTTCAGATCTGTTGCAGGAGTCCAAAACAGTTCCCAGAACAAAGCTGTGGTCTGTCAGAGGAACAGGCTGTCCTGGCAGTGCTGGGAGCGTGCAGCAGCCTGACGGCACTGCTGCTCTTCCCGAAAGGAACACGAGTCCTTGGGAGCCTTGTCCCACTGCTCCTGAGCAGGGTTTGCGCTGGGCTGGCAGCAGCTGCCAGCTGTGTCCTCAGTGCAGCACAGAACAGCGTGGTGATGGACACAGGCCTGGGTCCTGGGCTGGCTGGTGACCCAGAGCCCCTCGGTCCCGTGTCCGGCAGGAACAGAGGCTGGGGCACACCCACGTGTGTCTGCTGGCTCAGCTGGAGCCCCTGGCTTGGGGACAAACACAGAGGTTTGACCTCAGCCTCTGTGGACAGAGTGTTCCCATCCCAGGTTCCATCCTCTGGCAGATCTGCCCTTGGCTGGGGGAGCCACCCCTCCTCAGAGGAAAGGCAGGGGTGGGTGTGGAGCAAATCCCCTCTTGGCTCTGGAGAACGGCATCCCTAGGGGCTCACCCAGTGCCTGGACCCACTGAGAGACCAGCAGGGCCTGGATTGTCTGCCTCACACACCATCCTGGGCTTATCACAACAGTTCTGCTCATTGGTGGCTTGGGAAAGCATCTGGATATTGATGTGAGGTTGGTCTGTGAGCCCTCGCTGGCCCTGGGCTGATCCTTGGGTGTCTGTGCTCTGAGAGCTGGGGTTCCCTGAGAGGAGGATACTGCTCCAAGCTGCTGCTTAGCTGCCTGTGTCTTGGATTAATTACTGAGGACATTCTGTGACGTGACTGCATGTGGGGGTCATTATCAGCATTGAAGAACTGAACAGGCTTGCAGAACAAAAGCCAAACTGACATGTAGACCACAAATTTTGGTTTTTTTATTATTATTCTTTTATATAACACAAGGTCCTGACTGGCAGCCAGGAATAATAAAACCTGTGTATTTTGTTTATTACTTAATTTTTTTTTTCACTATAAAAACTTCAGATCTTCCTTTGAGCCAGAAGGGTGGAGACTGGTGAATGCAGGGTGGTGGGCCTTTGCCACCTCTGCCAGTGAGCAGCCATGAGCCATGGATAAGTCATGTCCCTTGCTTTGGTGTTCCCTCTGTGGTCAGTCTCAGCAGGATCACAGCCAGGAGAGTCACCTGAGAGGTCTCACAGTGTGTCACTTGCTCGGGTGACATTCTGTGCTTGACTGGCAGTGTGTAAACACCACCAGCTCTGTCATGCTGTTGTTTGCTGCCTTTTGTCCTCAGAAGGTGCTTTAAGGCTGTGAGGGAAAATGCAGGAATGCATCCAAGACTCTGGTGTCTGGCACGTGTCCCCAGAGCAGCTGTGCATGTCCAGGCCTGTCTGTGCACAAACAGCAGGGAATTGTGCTGGGCAGAGGCTCCTGGTGCCTGCAGGTGCACGGGGGGCTGCACCAAAATACAATCCTGCCAGCAGGGCCAGGGCTTTCTTTGAGCAGTCTGAAGTGTCCTGAGTAGTCCTGAGAAATCTGAGAGTGTTCCTGCTGTCATGGGGATGGATGGGGATGGATGGCAAGGTTGTGCAGGTGGAAAGTCACACAGCAGGCAGAGGGAAACCCTGGCACAGCCTCCCCAGGGTACAGAGGGAACTTGCTGTTCCTTTACCAAGGATAGTGAAATGTGATTAAATGTTGAGCAAAAAAGCACTTCCTTATCTGAGACTGTGATGTAAATTCTCTGTTTGCCATCCTGACATGACACAGAAGGTGCTGCCCATTTCCCCCTCACGCTCAGAGGGTACAGTAAATTTTAAGCTGTTTGGGTGATTGGAGGTCCAGTGCTCATCCTGCACAGCCCATGGCAGGGGTGGATCACAGAATCCCACAATGGTTTGAATTGTAAAGGACCTGAAAGATCATCTGATTCCAACCCCCTGCCATGGCAGGGACACCTTTCACTAGCCCAGGTGCTCCCAGCCCCATCCAGCCTGGCCTTGGGCACTGCCAGGGATCCAGGGGCAGCCACAGCTGCTCTGGGCACCCTGTGCCAGGGCCTGCCCACCCTCACAGGGAGGAATTCCTCCCCAGTATTCCATCTAACCCTGCTCTCTGTCAGTTTAATGCCAGTCTGCCTTGTCCTGTCACAGTGGTACTGTGCAATCAGAGGACAAGTGTCTTGACATTTATTTAGAGTTCACAGTTGTGGTGTGGCTCTGTTTGATCACAAGCTGAGCCCTTATCATGATTTGCCAGATGCAAATGCTCATTCCTGGAGCCAGGCTCAAAATCATACTCCTGTCACACTTTTAAATGCTAAGAAAAATGAAGGTGTTTCCTCTTTGTGTCTTAAAATCCATTTTCAAGCTCTGTTCTGGAGCCAGGAAGATTGGGAATTTTTGCCAATGAATGCTGGGATGCTTCTGCAATGACAGGGCCCAAGAACCTGGCACTCCAAAATCCCCCCAGACACTGCACATGTGGTATTATTGCAGCTGTAGTGATGGGATGGAGAGCCATGAAGACAGAGCATCCACTGCTCCATGTTTATGCTGGTAATAACTTCAGGGACAGTGGAGCTTCAGGCTCCACCTATTCTGTCATGCAGAGATATGTTTCTATCAGTTCAAAGCTTTTAGGTTCAGGGCAGTGTAGGTTTGGTCCTGAGTCATTTCTTCTGTCTGGAGCACCCAGCTTTGCAGACAGACAAATAAAATAAACCTGACAGTCAGAATCACTGTCCTGTGCAGCCTGGGACAGGCACCCTCTGGGGTGCTGAGGAACCTGCCCTGGGCACAGCCTCCTTCCTTCCTGCATGTGGGATCTCCTCTCACTCCTCCCACAGCACCACTGGCCTCAGAAGGAGCACTGGGCAAGGACAGGTCAGGTCAGCTGCTGGGTGAGCCACACACACTCACAATTTGGGTGTTTCCTGGTGGTTAGAGGTGTCTGGCCTTAGGGTGGTGTGATATTACAGAAATAGTCATTGATGTTCATCTGGAATGACCTGCATAACTGGCCTGTGTCTCCAGCCCTTGCCAGCTCACCCCACACACATCCTGATTTCAAACCATCCAATTCCTGTAGCAGCACTCTGCCCTGGGACTGACCACAGCAGCTTCTTGAAGAACCAGGTTCATTTTTGCATCTCCTCAAATCTCAGGCAGATCCCTGTCCGGGCTGGCTGGCAGGGTGTTGTGGGGATGGCAGGGAGAAGCCACAGGGCTGGAGGTGTCAGGGATGTGTCTGTGCCCTCTGGAGCTGTGGCACTCAGGGAGGGGCAGCAGCTCCTGGCTGATTTCTGCTCTCTGCTCTCAGCCCTGCCCAGCTCAGGAGCTGTTGATCTGCACACTGCTGACGTTTCCAGGTGGTATTTGCTCTTAGTGGTGTTTTCCTGACAGCATTCCTGCTGGTCACAGGCAGCAGGGCCTCTCCCTGTTGTCCATCTGCTGCCTTGGGGCAGCACCAGGGCCTGAGCACTGCTTGTCCAGAATCCCTGGAAAATGGTGCCCCTTATGCAACAGCACTGTTGGAGGACTTGCCATGTGTTTTCCTTCTGTCCCACCATCTGTATCTTTTGTCTGCTGAGGCTCTTTTTCCAGGACTGTCCTTTCATCCCGTGCCTGCACAGCGCCCAGCACAGCAGGGACCTGGCTCCCGTGGCCAGGGCTCCTGGGCACAGCTGATAACAAAGGTTAATGTTTGCAAAGTGTGCCTCCAAATTTTCCACTGTTCTCCTCAAGCGCCGAAATGATCTCACCCTGCATTGCCATGGGATACACTGTGTGCTCGCATCTTTTGGAGCACAGCTTGGGAAGGACCTCAGTCAAGAAAACAGCCAAGATTCTGGTGTTTTGGGCAATTTGCAAGCTTTGCTGTTGGTACTTGGAGGAGAAATAGGCAATTTCCCGGCATATGCAATGCTACAAAAATACTCCTGGCTTTCAATAGGCCCTAGCAGAGAAGTTTCCCTGGGAAAAACCAATAAAATTGTGTGGTTTTTATCGTGCTGCCATCTTGAGATCTGCCATGCTGGCGCTGGAGACAAGGCTGGCTCCCCTCAGGGCAGGGATGTGGTGCCCACAGCTGGAGCTGTGGAAGGGAAGGATGGGGCTGTTCCTTCTCGTGCAGGTCAGCGGGAGCAGCAGGAGCCTGGAGCCCTGAGATGCTGCACTCAGGGCTGGTGTTGTGCTGCACCCAGGGCTGGTGTTGTGCTGCCCTGGCAGCCAGCAGGGACCAGAGGAGAGCATGGATGGGGACAGGGCTGTGCAAACAGCTCTGGTTTGCTCTGCACATTGGCTAAGGATTAACTGTGGCCAGGTGCTGCAGGGATGGGGAAAGTCTCAACTTCAGCACAGTTTGGGAGAGCTGCAGGAGGAGAACAAAGTTTGTAAGGTCAGGTCTGTTGTGTGTGAATGTGAGAGTGCCAACACTGCAGGTGCTGGGGTGGGGGGGTCCTGCCTGTCCTCAGCTGTGGGGGCTCCAGTGCTGGGCTGGCACCTCCAGCCAGGTTTCTCTAAATGCCCTTTAACCATTTTCTCTGTATCCCTGTGACTTAGATTACACTGCACAGACACTGAATTAAGGCTGGTATTTATAGCTGCTCCTGCTGTGTGATGTTGGTGCTTCCATGAGTCACAGGCTCCACCTCTGGCTCCCACCCCAGGCTGAGGAGGGTGTGGGTGACCATCAGACCATCACTGTCTCCTGCTGGAGATCCCTTGGATGTGAACACCTGGGTGCACAGGAATCACCAAGGGATTGATGCAGCTTTTCCTGATTGCCAACCCTGCTTCCTTGGCTCTCCTAGGCTAGGATGGGACAAAGTGTGCTCTTCAGCAGTGCCTCAGGTGTCCTGGACACTTCTGCCTGTAGGTTCAGGAACTTGAGCACCTGAGGTAGGATTGCTCCCAGCTGCATTCCCAATGGAGTTTCTGAAGTGAGCAATTCCAGAGGAAGAAGTGCAGTGCTTGAGGTGTTTGTAGGGATGCAGCAGCCCCTGGAGTAAAGCAGCACCTGCTGCCATTGCCCTGTGTCACCTGCAGATCAGCCTCCTGCCACAGACTGCCCTGAGGTCAGGGAGGTGTGAATACCCGGGGCCTGCAGCCAAAGGGAGCAGCTCCTGGGCATGGGGCAGGTTTTAAAGGCTGGGACAGGGGAGCTCCCACTGTGGCCCAGCAGACCTGGGGCAGCTGAGAGCTCTGTCACTGGTGTCTTGTGCCCTTATTCCTCCTGAGCACGGAGTCAGCAGGAGCTGGAAGGATCTTTCTGCAGCAGCCACCTTCTGCCCAGGGCACCCCATCTGCTCCCCGTGGGGACAGAGGACTGCACCCCATCTGCTCCCCATGTGGTCCCAGGGCTGGGATCCTGAGGCACTGATGTGCAGCTGGAGTGATGATGGACCCTCTTCCTCTCTGTGTGGCACCATTTTCAGTGCAATGGGCAGGAGGCACCTCTGTTCCCACTGTATAAATGGAGGTGCTGATGGCTTCTGTCACCTTGTGCTGCAGCTGGTGATGCCTCCAGGGAGCAGGGAGGGTGTCTGGCATGTGGCTGCCCTTTGGCACATGCAGCCTGGGCCAGCTGGATGCTCCAAGATTACCTTCATTTACTAGCCATGATAACATACCTTCAGCAAATTCCTTCTCTGACCCTTCTCACAATTACCTGCCTTGTTGGGGCTTCTGTGCACACAGCCCTGAGACCTTGCAGGGCAGCTTGTGGTGTTTAGGAAGCTCATGCACATGATAGCACGGAGAGAGAAGCAGGCTGGGGTGACACTGAAGCCAGCATGACTGGCCAGATGTGAGGACACAGCTCTGCAGGCTCTGCTAACACCCACAATTCTGAGCTGGCTGCAGTCAAGCTGCTGCAATTTCCATGGTGATCAGTGCTGTCCAGCTGAGCTCTGGATCTCTGCAGCCTTTGGGATGCTCCATCCTGGATACAAGTGACATGTAGGAATGGGCTCTGTGGGCTGGGTGCTGCTGGCACCGTGCCCTTCAGCACTGCCAGGGAGGTGTCTCTGTGCCAGTGTCACGTTGCTGCTGATGTCTCTGTCATTCCCTGGCTGCTTGGTACCTCAGGAGAAAATTGTCTGTACCACAAGGATGACTGTGGATCCCTGGAGCACTGGATTGGATGAAAAGGAAACATGGGAAGCTGCATCTTCAGTCTGCATCTTCAGTCATAAACCCCAAAATAAATATGCCTGAATTTTTCATGCAATCTAAATAATCTTGCTCTGTGTTGCTTGCCTATGGAGTCCTACAGAATAAAAGATCTAACAGCTCCTAGCAGAGTGGTATTTTCCTCTCAGAGGAGGCAGAAATGGGGCTCAAAACTTTCTATGATCTGGTGATTTTGTAGTCTTGTGGCTTTTAAGGAAACTCCAGTTTCTTCCCAAGGTCATATCTAGCCAAATTCAACATATAAGAAATAAAGTTTTATTGAGTGCTCAGAGGAGAAATTATCAATATTTCTGAGGCAAAAACACTCATGCATTTACCCAGCCCTCCATTCTCACAGTGGGCCATGGGGAGCTGGGGCTGGGTGAGCTGCTCAGGGGAGCTGGGCTGGGGCTGGGGCTGTGGCAGGATGGTTCTGTGATAGATCCTGCAGTACCCAGATCTCCTTTCTAAGCAATGCTCAGTCACTGACCTTCACCCCTGCCTTGGTTTCTGGGCATTTCAGTGCAGGCTGTGAGGCACCTCCCAGAGCAGTGGCAGTTCAGGAGCAGGACAGGTCTGTGGTGTCCCAGGAGGAGCAGGCACAGAGAGAACATACCCTGGTACTGCTGCTTCTCTGCTTTCTGCTGCTCTGGGGTGTGGGAAGAGGAGAGCCCTCTGGTAAAGCAGTGAGGGCTATGGGAATTCTCCTGTCAACTGGAAGAGTGCACAAGCTTTGCTGCCTGTTGTGTGTGTCAGTAAACTCTGGAGGAAAATGGAATAGGAATAGAAAGTGTGAGAACAACTGCAGGAGAAGTCTTTCTGCATGTGGGTCATCTCCTAGCTTCAGATTTTCCTCCTGCCTCCAGGCCTGGCAATGTCAGGCCAGGAGCTGTTGTAGCTGCTGCACAGGTCTGTGCTAGGGCAGGAGTCCTCCTTGGCTTGGTGCAGCTCTTGTGGAGCCAGGCTCTGTGCCAGGGAGTGCTTGGAAGTGAGCAGCAGGCAGGAGGAAATGGCTGAAACCCATCCCCAGCTGGAGAACTGTCCCCTGGGGGAGGCATCCAGGAGACACAATGAGCACGGCCCCCAAAGCTGTGCTCTGCCCTGCACCCACTGCCAGCAGCTGCACGTGCCTAGGGTGGATTTAAGTGAATTTTGTGATCTTTATGGTGTCCTTTCACTGTCCTGATTGCAGGTGTGGTGCCCAGGTTTAGCAGGGCAGTGTCCCAGCCTGGGGTGGCTGAGCCCATGAAGGGTTGGTCACTGGAGCTGACACCTGGCACAGCATGCTCACAAAAGGCCTCTGGGGAGCAGGATGTGCATTCCTTGGGAAATGTCCCTCTCTGGGTCAGGCTGTGGCTGGCAGGGTCGGTGCCTCAGTTCTGCCTGCCCTACCCCACAGGGGTTTCTAACTCGATTTCTTCACTTCTCTCCCTCCAGCGGATCGTTGTAAAGAAGTGCAGCAGATCCGAGAGCAGCATCCAAACAAGATCCCAGTAAGTGAATTGTTCTCACTCTTCTTGTCAGGCTTTGTTCTCAGAACCTTCTGTGCTCCTGGGTGGCCTCCATGGAGCTTGCAAAGCTTTGCTGCCTGGAATCAGCACAGGATGGTCCCCATGAACCTGCAGTGCCCTGTGTGTGCCAGCTGCCCAACAGCAGCCGTGTTCTCTGCATGCAAAGCACAGCTCCAAAGCTCCTTGCTGCCCTGGAGGCAGGGGGCTGATTTCATCTCAAACCTATTTCCAAGTGAGTGCAGTAGGAGAAGACTCTGAAATGGCTTTTGTTTTGGCTGTAGTAGCTACCTGATTTGTCCTGGATAGCCTGGTAAGGATTTCTCTGCCCAGAGAAAGATGTGTGGGCTGATCTTCACTGCTCTGAAAGCACAGAGGCTCTTTTAGGATGATTCAGAGCCATTCTGTGCTGTCCCAGCACCTGTGGATGACAGGCACAGGTGAGACACCATGAGCTTGCAGTTCTTCCTGCCCATGTCACACCTGATATGCTGAGTTGCTCTTTGGCTGAGTCTGCTTTTGAGTTCTACCTGAGTATTTGCATCTCTTCCTGAGAAGATGGAGGACTTAGAGGAACATCCTGTTCCTAGAAGTGTCCAGCACCAGGTTGGACAGGGCTTGGAGCAGCCTGGTCTAGTGGCAGGTGTCCCTGCTCACCTTTAAGGTCCCTTCTAACCCAAATGATTCCATGATTCAATGAAATTATGTACTTGGGGCTTGCTCAGCTTACTATTTGCTGTATCACAGCATCAATGACCAGAAAGACAGGATTCCTAGCTCAGCTCCCTCTCAGTGCTGGATGAACATCAACCTTGTCTTAAAATTGTACACTATCAGTATTTGGCCTTCAAGACTGAATGTCTCAAACTGCTCTAGCCCATCTTAGTCCTCTTCTGCCTCACTCTTGTTTTGTTTTTAGCACAGTGTTTTCTAGCCAGAAGAATTCTCTCTCCTCTCCTCTCCTCTCCTCTCCTCTCCTCTCCTCTCCTCTCCTCTCCTCTCCTCTCCTCTCCTCTCCTCTCCTCTCCTCTCCTCCCACCAGCACTGTGGTGTTCATGTGATGTTCACGTGTTTCCAGCTCAGCAGGGCAGGGCTGCCCCTCACAGCACCCTGGGCCAGTGCTCAGGTTGTCAGCACATTGATTACCTCTGCTCTTAACATGGTTTCAATGGCATTAGACTGGCTCTGCATTTCTCCAGAGCTGTGGCAGAGCTGACTGCAGTGCATTCAGGCTCTGGCTGCAAGGCCAGGCTAGAAATGAGTTGTACATAAAATGCACCCATGTGCACGTGTCAGGTGCCTGCATACAAATGTGTGTTGCTTGGGGGATGGACAGAAGGAGCCAGAGCATCCACAGGCAGAGTTCTGTGGCATTACTGGGACATGGTGGGAGGTTCCCATGGATGGAGGGCTCTTTGTGTTTGGGTCAACACCCCAAGTTTTGCTGGAGGGGTAGAAAGAATCAGGTGGTGAGAAGGGTCATGAAGGCTCGTGGGGCCCAGCTGTGTTTGTGTCCCTGCTGTCTCTGGTCCCGGTCCCTGTTGGAGCCCAACACAGCTTGGAGCTGTCTCTCCTGTCCCAGGGAGGTTTCAGGGCAGTGGTCAGAGCCTGGTGCAGCAGGGTGGTGTGGGCACTGCCATGGTCCAAGCACTGCAGGCCCATCACTGTAGCAAGTCTTGGTGATCTGTGAGAGTCAGGAGCTGTGTTCTCCAAGTGCTTGGCTTCCCTGGAGAGACACTTGGAATCAGCAGAGGGGTCTGAGCCCCCAGCCAGGGCAGTGAGGGAGGTCCAAGGTCACACCCTTAGTGCTGACAGAAACCACAGCAAAGCTGTGCAGCACCTGCTGCCCTCCTGCATCTCCAGTTTCCAGCCAGAGTCCTTGGGCAAGTCCCTTTGGCTTTGAGAGGGGGCCAGGAGGGTTTGAGAGGGCATGGCCTGGCCGTGTGCCCAGGGAAGAGCTCATCTCTCCTGTTTCCATGAGGGAACTTGCAGGGAAAGCTGAGGAAGGGACTGACGTGGAGTTCTTTGCTTCTGTTTCACGGAAGGCTCATGCCAGGCTGCCCCTGGCACGTGCAGTGAGGACAGCAGGAGCCAGGTCCCCTGTCCATGCCAGGGGCTCCTGTGCTGTCCCTGCAGGCCCAGAGCTGCCTGCTCTGGCAGGAGCTGCTGACCACAGGCACACCTGCAGGCAAGGTGAGATGGTTGTGTTGGCAGCAGGGGCTGCTCACGCTCTGCTCTGCTGGGAGGAAATCTCCATCTGCTCCTCCCTGGGAGTCAGAGCAAGTAGAGAACTTCAGCCTTTCCACTGGGACCCCCATCCACAGCTTCAATATGTTTTCAAAATCATTTCTGTCCTGTTAGAGGACAGGGAGCCTGTGCCCCTGCACCATCCCTGCCTCTCTCAGCCCCAGAGACCTTTCTGGAGATGATTGAACCCTCAGAGAGTCTGACATTGCTGGGGAGCAGCTGGTTCTGGGCAGCAATGGGAGCAAACCCCTTCCCAAAGCCCTGCAGTGCTAAATCCAGGCAGGCCTGGTGAGGGCAGGGAGGGCTGAGGGGGAATTTGGGCTCTGTTGGGTTCATCTGGGCACCCACAGAGGAGCATGGAGAGACAGTGGCAGCTGGGAGAGCCCACATGATGCCCTGGCCTGGCACGGGGTGGATGGAAACCCAAATCATGGACTCAGAGGAAGGGACAACCTTCTCTGGGCTCCTGGGAGTGCTTTTCTGGGGAGCTGCAGATCCAGTGTCCAGCACTGACATGACTCTGGATGAATTAACACCAGAGCACCTTTGTGACTGAGGGCTGCTTTGTCTGGTGCCACTAAAGCACCTGCCAGAGGGGACAGGGTGGGGCTGGTGCAGGCTGTGCTGGTGTGATGTCTGTGTGTCTGTGTCAGTCTGTGCCTGCCTGTGGATGTCAGGGAGGTGTTGCATGCACACATTTGAGCCTCTGTGCCTGCTGGGAATGCATTCCCAGCCTCACTCCTGCTTGGACCTTGCCTCTGCTGACCCCCACATCTGGCCATATTCCCTACCAGACTCCCTGTCCATCTCCCCAGAACAAAGGGTGTATTCTGTATTCATCAACACTGTCCAAGCCCCTCTGCAGCAGGACCAGGACTTCAGGCTCTGCCCTGAGTGTTCCTCCTCCCCACCTGTGCCCACTCATGGTTTCTGCAGAGATCTGTGGTGGTTCCCTCTGCAAGAGCAGGTGTCCCATGCTGAGGAAGGCCTGGCTGGAGGCAGCAGCTTGGAAAAGGATATGGGCTGGGAGGTGGCTGTGCACACCCTCCCTGGGGCCACAGGGTGTAACTTTAGCATCTGATCATGCTTTTCCCTCCAGGGCTAGACAAGAACGTTTTGTCCATTGGCCACTTGTTCTCATAGCTGGGTTACCCAAATAGCAGCTCGTGTTCTGGGAGCAGAAACTCTTGGAGTTGTTCTACATGAGAGGCTCTGTGTCTGCTCGGGGCACAAGGCAGCTGCTGCTCCAGGAGCCAGGACAGCCACTGCATCCCATTCTTGGATTAATCTAAAGGTGGTTCCTCTTGGGATGGAACTGGCTGGTAATGAGAGACACCAGCCTGTGGTCCTGCTCCTGTGAGAGCTGAGGCACCATCCAGGTGTGCAGGGCCCTCTCTGCAGGTGAAGGTGGATGCACAAACAGCTGCTGTGTAGCTGCTTCTCCATGCAAACCAAAAAGCTGAGGGGCCACTGCTGCCTGTGTTTCCCAGCAGATCCCTGTCTGTGGTGTTGGGAGGACTCAGCCCCTCAGGACTCCTCTCGCAAAAGCCAAAATACTCACCTGTCGCAGACATCTTTTATGGAAAATCCTTTCCTTAGGATTTTTCCTCCTGAGAACCTGAGTGGCCTCAGGAACAAAATGTAAACAATGATTATCTGCTGCTGTGGAATGCAGCAGGTGCATCTGTGATTGGCCCATGTTGGATGTTTCTAATTAATGGCCAATCACAGTCAGCTGGCTCAGACAGAGAGCTGAGCCACAAACCTTTGTTATCATTCTTTGCAATTCTATTCTTAGCTAGCCTTCTGATGAAATCTTTCTTCTATTCTTTTAGTATAGTTTTAATACAATATATATAATAAAATAATAAATCAGCCTTCTGAAACATGGAGTCAGATCCTCGTCTCTTCCCTCATCCAAAAACCCCTGTGAACACCGTCACACCTGTCCTGTAAGATTCAAGTTAAATGCAGTAGGATGGTTCTGCTCATCTTGTCCTCCCTGTGCCCTCCTTGCGGGGATGGTGGGCCATTAACAGCTTGGTGGGGGATGTCCCAATGCATGATTTACTCTTTTGCAGAAAGGGGTTCTTTATTCAGATCCTCCTTTGCCCACGAAGGCTGCCTGGTGTTCACATGCTGCTGGCCCAGTGCTGGTCTCCCCTTGGGTGAGATTTGTCCAGGGTGTGTGGGAGCCCAGGACATCCCTCTGTCTGTCCAGGACCATGCCAGGGGGCTCAGAAGCCCTGGCACGGAGCCCAAAACACCTGTGGGTTTGATTGTGACCCATGGAGCAAGTTACCAACGTTATATGAAGACCAGTAAGTCACGACAGTTTAAGAATGATAGTGAAGATATCATGAGGTGAAAAAGTAGATTTTGGGGTTTCTGGTATGGGGATTCAGGAGGCAAGATGGAGGGAACTGGGTGTGTCTAGCCTTTCTCCTTCTTCTTGGCCTCCATCTTCTGCTGTGATGGTGGCACTTTTAGATTGCTTTAGAGTGGAAGCTCAGTGTCTTAACACAGGTGATAGGTATTGGAAAGTAATTGTAAACATAGTACATGTAGTTTTTAGTATAAAGACATAACACTGCCCTGGGGGCAGGCAGAGTGCCTGGGGCTGTCCTGCTGGATGGACCTCGGCAGGGCAGGAGAAAATTTTTTATAGATAAGATACAATAAACAACCTTGAGACCGAGAAATTAAGAGCCCTGACTCCTCCTTCAGGCGCAGGGCTGGGAAAAGAGACTTTGGAACTTTTCTCGGGGTCACTGTGACCAGCGAGAGACCCCGACAAGGGCGGGCTCTGCAGAGGCTGTTTTGGTGCAGAGCCCCAGCAGGGCCCCTTATCCCCTCTGTGTTTGGTGCCTGCGGCCCATCCTGTCCCACCAGCCTCAGCCATCAGCCCATCATCAGCCTGCAGCCCAGCCTGTCCCACCAGCCTGGGGCTCCTCAGCCATCCCCAGCTCCGGGGCTCCGCTCTGTCCCAGCCGGGGACTCTGATCCACCTCGGGGGGAGCCGGGCACGGGTTCCGCTGCTGCTGCTGCTGCTGCAGAGGCTGAGGTGCCAACACGGGATCAGAGGGAAGGGAAATCAGGGAAGGGAAATCCGTGTTCCAGGGGTTCTCTGGTCCTTCTGGCTCCGCAGAGCCATCTCCTGGGGATCCTCCTCTCTGCACCCTGCTCCGTCCCTCTGCTGCCAAAAGCCATTTGCAGCTCTTGAGTATTTCTGGAAAGGACCTGGGAAAATAAATTCTGGCAATTCCTTGCCTTATAATGAAAAATACTGTTCAGTGTCAGGTGGGAGAGGATAATGGGCTGATGAGTATCCAAGAGTCTCTCTGTGGGAAAGTCAGCAGGTTGCTGGACAGATGTGAGACAACAGCACTGCAATGGGAACATACTAAGCTGTATATTCTTCACTTATTTCATTTTTCTTAGAAGTACATTCCCTATTTTAACTTCCTGCCACTTTTTTTCTCAGAATACAAAGGTACCTTTCCAGGCTGGTTTAGAACAGCAATTGTAGCTGTCAGCAAACAGCTTCACAGAAGAAAATCATTAACTATAATAGCAGGAAAATGGATCAGAAATCATCATTCAGCCATTTCAGAATGTAGGGATGGTTAGAACTGTTCCAAGCAAGATGTCTGGCAGAGGAGGACGGGCTGGGTTGTCCCTGTGGTGACACCATGCAGGAGTGCCTGGGAAGCTCAGTGCACAGCTGGGGTGGCCCTGGGTTTCTGATCCTTCTCAGAGTCTGGCTGTTAACGTAAGGAGTGGGACTGGTGAGATCCAAACCCCCCTTCCTGAAGGAATGCCTGAGTGGCTTCACTGGAACTTGTGAGAACTTGAGAACTGCTTGCTTGGGAATATCCACAGCTGTTCCTGAGCAGGCAGAGGGATGCTGAATGGCAGCAGGAAGCAAACTGCATCATGAGCTGTCTGTAGCTCAAGCCAGCAAAACCTGTGGGTTTGGTCAGTCAGAAAGTGATGGTAAAATATTTCACTCCTCTTCAGATGTCCTGCATGCCAGAGTACAGAATCTGTATCGGTCCAGTGGTGCCCACTGTTTCTCAGCCTATCAGAGCACTTGGTGCTTTAGTTCATTGTTCTGGACACTGTTCACTGCCTGCCTCAGGCACAGGTGATGGATGAAGAGCCATCTGCAGCCAGCCTGCTGCTCACTGCTCATGTCTTTTTTTTGTTTTGTTTCCTGTGAGAGTGAAGCCAAGTGAGGCTGTACCTCAGCTTTTCTACCCATGCTAGTTGGATTTGTATCTGACCTTGGGACCAGTGTGGGGGCACTATGAACATGACTAATCCTGCCCTTGACTTTCCCCCAGGTCATCATTGAACGCTACAAAGGGGAGAAACAGCTGCCAGTGCTGGATAAGACCAAGTTCCTTGTCCCAGACCATGTCAACATGAGTGAATTGGTCAAAATAATCCGGTGAGTGGGGTTAGTGAGCCTGTCCTTGCCCACAGGCCACTCACTGCAGGGTGCTGGGGTGAGGGTGAGGGTGAGGCAGCTACTGAGGGCAGGGATGGGGACGTGGCAGCCCCTGCATCCTTGGGTATGGTACAGGCTGTTGTGGGGGGGCAGGGGAGGGCAGGTTCTGAGCACCTTGGGAAGGGCTGGGGTCTTTCCCTCAAGGGGACACTCATGAGCAATGAAGGGATCCCATCCCCTTTTTATTCTTCAGCTCAGAGGGAAGAGGCCCCTCTGCTTTGCCCTTGCTAGCACTTGGAGTAGGAGGGCTTTGCAGAATCCTGGCTCAGGAGGCCTTGGAGCCTTGGGCAGCTCAGATTCATGGACACCATGTCCTGAGGGGTGGGAGCAGGTCCAGAGGAGGCCCTGGCTGTGCAGGCCTGGCCCAAAGGGAACAGCACTGCTGGGGAGGAGGAGCAGGCAGTGAGGGCACCCACCCTGACCCTGCCCCCTCTGCCCTTGCCCCCACAGGCGCCGCTTGCAGCTGAACCCCACCCAGGCCTTCTTCCTGCTGGTGAACCAGCACAGCATGGTCAGCGTGTCCACCCCCATCTCGGAGATCTACGAGCAGGAGAAGGACGAGGATGGCTTCCTCTACATGGTCTATGCTTCCCAGGAGACCTTTGGCTTCTGAGGGCTGCTGACAGTCGGCTTGTGGAGACAGATGAACTGTGGCACAGAGGCCCCTGGCCTCGGAGGACAACGCAGCCAGAGGCTCACGAGAGGGGGGCTGTGCTGACCCCCGTCCCCTCCCTCCCTCCCTGTCACCCTCCCTGTCACCCTCCCTGTCACCAAAGAGGCTCGTGGCGCGTGTTGGACTCGCACAACCCCTCCCCTGTGTAGGTCAGTCCCGCTCTCCCAGGCGCCCGCCCAGGCGTGTGACACCCCCAGCCAGCCCCGCAGACCCTGCTGGGGCCTGTCCCTCTGTCCCCGTTTCCCTCTGTCCCCCTGTCCCCGCGCTGCTCTCGCTGTGCTGTGTGTGCTCTGCTGCTGCCAGACCCGCTGGGCCGCTGTCACCCAGCACAGGGGGAGCCTCCTCTCCCCAAGCACTCACAAAGGGCAGGAGGTCTGCAGAAGCAGCTAACAGATGTTACCATTGCTCCCGAGTTTTAATTGATTTTAATTACACCCATATCAGATTCTTGGTGCTACTGAGTAGATGTAGGCGTCTCTATAGGACTGTGGATAATGTATATCCTTTAGATTTATTTTATTGGTTTGTTTGTTTGGGTTTGTTTGTTTGGTTTGGTTTTTTTTAGGGATAGATTGGAATGGGGAGAGGGGGAAACTTTCCTGTATTCTGTAGGTAATAAATCAGGCTTCATTGCACTTTAAAGCATAGTAGATGTCAGAGTGGAATTTTCTTTTAATTTATACAGGTTTGCCATCTATAGTGCTGCTCCTCTGTTGACAGTTGTACCTATATTATCTTGTTTCTTTGTTTTTTCTAATAAAATTGATTTCCCTTCTCTCTGTCTCCCCATTGCATGCAATTTTTCACTCTCACTGTGTCAAGGAGTTCACTGAAGGAATGTACTGATTTATATTTGCTATGTTCCTGTCCCTGTTTCTCATGTATTATACCAAAAAAATGTATATGACAAAATCCCCCCCAGTTTAATCTATACAAAGGTATATATATATATATATATATATAAAAATATATATATAAAATAAACATAAATTCAAGTTGTGTCTTGTAGGAATGTTCTGTTCCCATCTCATTTGTCTGTGTTAATGTCTCTGGTATATCAAATGTGATGTGTGTTCCCCATGTTCACTGGTGTGTGTGTGTGTACCTGGCCAGGCTTCTGAGCTGGTTAAAAGAGCAGCTGGTTGGGATGAGGGGCTGGGACAAAGGGGGAAGATTGGTTTGGAGAACAAAGCACTGGATAGTGACAGGAAACATGGTTGTCCTTGCCCTACCTGTGTAGAGTCTCTTGTCCTTTGATTAAACTTCCTTATCTGGGAACAAAAACTTGAGGGGGAGGCATTTGTGAAGTGTGTTTTTAAGGGAAGCTTTGAGCAGGGCAGGAAGTTGTGGCTTATCCTGAACCCTCCATCAGACTTTTCTCCAGGCTAAGGCAGGGGCTGATGGACCATGGGCTGGTCAGTGTCTCCCTGCTCCTCAGCTCACTCTCCTTCCTTTACACTGCCCAGCAGAAAAGGGTTTGGGCACTGAAAAGACTTAGGGCTTGCCTGAGTTGCAGCCCACACTAGCCTGACGGTGCCACAGCTCCCTAGGCTGGCATGAGGGGCTGATGATACCACCAGGCTCCTGCTCCCACAGAATCCCAGGACGGGTCAGGCTGGAAAGGACCACAATGGCTCATCTGGTCCAACTTCCCTGCTCGACAGGGGTCATCCCAGAGCAGGTGGCACAGGATTGTGTCCAGACAGTTCTGGAATATCTCCCGTGAGGGAGACTCCACACCCTCTCTGGGCAGTCTGTTCCTGTGCTCAGTCTCAGGTTAAGGGTTTCTGCCTGTTGCCTCTTGTCCCATTGCTGGGCACAGCCGAGCAGGGCCTTGCTCCAGCCTCTGCCTCTTTAGATGTTCGCACACGTTGATGAGGTGAATGCGGGACACGCGTGCCTTGAGGGACCCCGGGCTGCAGCCAGGGACAGGCGAGGCAGCCTCGGCAGGAGCGGGACCCGTGCGAGGCCCTGCCGGGCCCTGAGGGGAGCAGCGCCCGCCAAGCCACTTCGGCCTCTCCGCTCTGGAGCTGCGGCACGGCCGGGGCTGCTGTGACTCCCCCGGGCCCTGCCCGCAGCCTGAGGCCGGAGATGGAACGAGCCCTGCCGGGCCAGACCGGGGCTGCTGGGCGGGCTCCAAGCCCTTCCTGCGGGGCAGGCCGAGCCCCAGCGGCGGGGGAGGCGGCAGGAGCCGCTGCCTTCCCCAGGTTCTCAGCTGTTCCTTATCTCATGCCCTGGGAAGAGGACAGGCCCTGGATGGCAGCTGTGCTCTGGCATCCCGGCTTCCAGCCCGTTTCACCCCCCTGCAGTGGCACCGTTCCACCAGCCGTGCCAAAGCAGCCCTCACTCACAGACCACCACTGCTGAGCAGCTGCGTTACACTACCCCACGGGGATGTGGGTTGGCCATTCCAATCCAGGACAGGGTGTGAAAAAAAGGAGAAAACTCAGAACTAGCTTCGGGCCACCACCTTTTCCCTGCCTCCCTCCTTGGGGCAGGTGAGACCCAAAGGTGGCAGAGCAATCCCAGATGCAGCTGCTGCTGTTGATCTGCAGCACAGTGACAGCAAGTGCTCGTGCAGAGCTTCTGGGGCAGCTTGGTCTGAGCAGAAAGGGCCCTACAAAAAGGATTGCAAGGCAAAGACGTCATTGTCCTTCACACAAGGTGAAAGCCAGGCTGTGTCCAATGGGATGCATCCCTCCACGCACCCGACAGCAAAGCTTGCTGTAGAAGACAAAAATGCGGGCTACTCCTTGCCTCCCTAGCTCAGTAAAATTGGCTTGCAGTGTGGCTGAGGCTGTAGAAGGGAAGAGGATGGGACAGGTTACAGCAGGGAAGATGAGCAGATGCACTTTGGCCTGGTTTGGAGGAAGCACAAGCAAGGCCTTAGGAGTAAATACTTTATTGACAGAAAAGGGTATCAAGTTTGCTGACTAGAGGCCCTTCAGCTCTCCTGCACACGCCTCACTCACCTCCGGTGAACTTCATGTGCACTGATCTGCGCCGTGCTCCGGCCTGGGCAGGGGGCTTCGGACCCTCCGGAGGGGTGGGCTGTCGGGAAAACTGTGGGTCCACGGAGGTGAGGTTGTCCTCAGCAGCAGAGCTTTCCTCTCCACCTTGAGATGTGGCTGGGCTTGGGACAGGTCCTTGAAAATTCTGTCTGGCCTGGGCAGGGGGCTTCGGACTCTCCGGAGGGGTGGGCTGTCGGGAAAACTGTGGGTCCATGGAGGGGAGGCTGTCCTCAGCAGCAGAGCTTTCCTCTCCACCTTGGGATGTGGCTGGGCTTGAGACAGGTCCTTGAAAATTCTGTCTGGCCTGGGCAGGGGGCTTCGGACCCTCTGGAGGGGTGGGCTGTCGGGAAAACTGTGGGTCCACGGAGGTGAGGTTGTCCTCAGCAGCAGAGCTTTCCTCTCCACCTTGAGATGTGGCTGGGCTTGGGACAGGTCCTTGAAAATTCTGTCTGGCCTGGGCAGGGGGCTTCGGACTCTCCGGAGGGGTGGGCTGTCGGGAGAACTGTGGGTCCATGGAGGGGAGGCTGTCCTCAGCAGCAGAGCTTTCCTCTCCACCTTGGGATGTGGTTGCGCTTGGGACAGGTCCTTGAAAATTCTGTCTGGGGGTTGGTGCAGGCCAATGCTGACCAATCAGGTCCAACAGAGACTGAACAATCCCATTTGCAATGGTCCTTATGTCCAAGGTGTTGCCTGAAGTTGCTGGATTTGCTTCTCTCACCAAACTCTCCTTCACCATTGCAGGATTCTCAGGCTCCATGGTTTTGGCATAGCCAGTCCGTTCTGCATGGAGCTGTGGTCCCAAGGCAGGCAGCTTTACTCCTGTGCTTTCTTCCTTGCTCTGTTCTTTGGATGATCCAGAGATTGCTGGTTCCATCTGTCTGTTGGACACCTTACCCTTGGGAAGCTTCAGGATTTCGGTGTACTCAGAGCTGGAGTCTTCTCCAAACTGAGAAGCTATCAAGGATTTTAAGAGGCAGCGAACATTCTTAACAACTTGTGTGGTGAGTTCGTCAAGGCAAGCGTGTAGCCGTGCTCTGCCTGTTTCAGCTTCTTTGGATGTGTCTGATTGGGTGGCTCCTCCATCAACAGGCTGCTCCTTCTGCCTGGCTGCCCTCCCTGGCTCAGAAGCTTTGGTCTCCAGATAGTCCCCCAAGATCTCCAACGCTGTCGCTATAAGCTCCTTGGCCACCAGTTCTATTTCCTGTTCGTGGTCTAGAGGTGCCTCTGTTCTCACACAGCCACCAAAAACTACTCCTCTGATCCTCCGGGCAGCCCTCCTTAAAAAGTTGGCATAGTGATCCCGAGGAACCCTGAGCCTCCCAAAGACTTCATGCACAACAGTCTCAACCAGCCCTTGGAGCTTCAGGGCTTCTGCTGTGGTCAGCTGCTCAAAGATAGCTTTAAAGAGGCTGTCAGCAGTGTTGTCCAACTTCTGCTGGGAGTCAGCAGCTCTGTTGGCATCTTCCTGACCCAGCTCAGTTGTGGAGTTGGTTTGGCCCTTGTTTAAAGCTCCTTTCCCTCTTCTGAATCTCCGTGATTTCCGGGCGGTCTCTTTGCTCTTCTGTGGAGGTGAGCAAGAAGGTTTCTGAGGCTGCAGCTGCCACTCTGCCCAGCTGGAAGTGTCAGTGGTTCCTGGCAGTTGGGGCCATCCTTTAATGTGGCCAAAAGTGGCAGAAACCCTTCTTGAAAGGTGACACCAGGTTGTGGGTCATAGTGCCTGGACAAGCACTCAGCCCCTGCATACTGAGGATTCCCGCAGGCCCAGGCCAGCACTCTGCTTCAGCCAGGCACAAGGGCAGGGAAGAAGGGCTTCCCTCAGCATGGTGTGTGCCTGCACATGGCCCTGCTGCCCGTGCCCAGCTCAGTGCCCTGTGCTGGCTCAGCTCCCAGCCCTGGAGTCCTTTCCCCACCACAGCGCCCGGCCCAGCAGCACCGCCCTGCACAGTCCCATGCCCCTGAACACAACGCTTTGCCTACCTCTTCCCTCAACATCTGCTCTAACTCCATCTTGATCCTGCTCAGGTACTGCCTGTACTCATTGAACTCCTTCAGAGTGCAAATCACCTATGGAGGGACGAGGGCAGAATCCCCCAAAAACTGTCAAGCCATGCAGTCGGCCTTCCCCAAAACCGCCCGAGCCCAGTGGGAGAGGAGCTGCCCCCAAGCCCTCCCCTCATACCCTGGTGTTGGGGCCACTGCTGTCCCCCCAGCCAGGGCTGAACAGGCAGCGTGGGGCAGGCTGAGAAGGGCAGGACTGGGGCTTGCCAGGAGGACGTTGGCGCTGCTTCTGCTCCCAGGGACAGCAATGCACAGCCCTGTCCTCTGGCAGCAGCAGCAGCTGCAGCAAGGGCTGTGGGAGCCCTGCTTGAAGAGGGCTGTTCTTGATCAGCCTGATGTCCAAACCTACCTTGTTTTCACTGGTGACACAGCCCTGTTTCTTCAGCATCCGCAGGATGTCCTTGCGCTTGTGGTAGTCCTGAAGGTGGGGGTCATGCAGGCAGTTGTATTGCAGGTCCAGCTGGTGCATGTAGGGATCGTCCAGATTGAAAGAAGGAGATAGCCCATATAGCTGTAAGAGACATTTGCCAGAGTATGAAGGAGGCAGGAGAGCAGCAAAGAGATGCCATGCGGTACTTGTGAGAAGAGCAAGGTACTTTGAAGACCAACACTCTTCGCTGTCCTTCTGAAGACACAGAGACCCTCACAGAAAGGCTGCAGGGCTGTGCTGGGCCAGGCTGGGCTGTGATGGGATGGGCTGAGGCAC